GAACAGTGCCCTGGTGAAAAGTGTCTCTTAACATGCAGATAAGAATTCTGAGATGATGTGAAGCAAGGCACAAGATGCTGTTTTGATGATATCGGCACTTTCTGCATACATTATTTGTAAAAAATATGACCCTGTGAAGATCTGGTTTAGAATGGGCACTCAGCCACCCATGCTGGTTACATGCGACTAACAGGATCAGAAAGTCAGGCTCAAAGTTTGAGTCTAACACAATCTTTGTTCAGTCCTGTAAGCTCAGCCAAAAATAGTCCTTATAATGAAAGTGGGGGCATGGGAGGCCCAGTTGTCTAAGGCGTCGCGATTCACTGTGCAGAGTTGCGTCCCTTTGGCACGCCAGAAACATATGATTGTGGGTTCGAATCCCGGTTCGCCCCAATTATGTTTCTAGGTTTGTCAGCACCATACCCGTGCTCATGGGTTTCACCGAAGTGGTAAATGTCGGAGACTCGCATCACTTCGGGCTTTCCTCCCACATTAAGCTGACACACCGTGATATAACTGGAATACTGTTAAAAGCGGCGTTAAACCCAACTCACTCACTCACTATACTGAAAGTAAAATAGAGTAGAGGCTTCTAACGGGATCTGGTGGTCAGACTCAAAGACTTAGTTGATGCATATCATTTTGTCCAAAATGTGTGGATCGATGCTCATGATGTGAATCACTGGATTGTCTGGTTCAGACTCGGATTATTTACAGACCGCCGTCATACAGCTGGAACACTGCTGAATGCGACAACAAACAACAAAGAAACATTTAAAAATATACCACCAGTGGGTGTGCTTTGACTTATGCTAAGAGGGTTTAGATTGATGGTTCTGCTGTCAACTTTGATCTTTATGTATATTGCTGAGTGCACTGTTAAACAACAAACAATATGTAGGTTATATGTCTTAAGTATCCAGTGTTCGTCTGTCAGAAACCCATACCTATGCTTGGGGGTTTTCACCAAGAAATCAAGCATCTGTGCCCTCCCACATTAAGCCGTTAAGCCATTACTGATATACTGTTCAAAACACCTTTAAACCCATCTCATTTTTGAATTTGTTGCCAGGTTTTGTTCTATCCTAGTTTAAGAATTTGTTTGTATTATACAACATTAAAATATGCAGAGATTTACCTTGGTCTATAGGAGTCCTAGGGAATCTCAATATTATATTTTTGGGGTCCTCTGCATTAAAATGAGTGGTCCCAGGTTGACAACTCGACCAATTACAAATAACATTCAAAGTAGTTGTGGATTGGATTTCCTTGTTTTAATCGGAACTTATAATGTTTGAATTAAGTCAATCTGACTTTGACGATCTGAACCTTGATTGTATTTCTCATTACTACAGACATATCACATAAATCTTGCGTACATTCTTCAATTCGAACAGTTCCAATCATTCCAACATCCTCACTCTTTTATGTCCAGTGGGACTCACAGTGGATACTATTTGCGTCAATTCTTAATGACGCAATATTTTTCGTCTGGCAAAACCTTGTAATGTGTAATTTGCATTGAACGTAGTAAAACTAATTTGATGTTGAATTATAATACCAGTTGTTTGATTGGTGAGTAGAAAGGAAAATGTCCAATTTGTGGATAACATAAACACACCATTTTCCAGTTGAGAACAGTCGCTATTGCACCTAACCAGAAGTTGTTGTCCATAAAGCTGTACATTTCCTTATTATGATGCCAGTTGTTTGTTAAATCGTTTTATCCAGTTATTTGGAACATCAGGATAACGTTTAGGCGGTAAAACATTTTTTGAATCCCATGAAATCCCAATGGGGAAAGACCAAAATCTCATTTCCTTCTGATCGATGTGAAAATTACTTGTAAATTCAAGATAAATGTTATTTGTTGATGTATATGCAGGAGGTTGATAATGACTCTGGTGGAGGACAATTGTTTATGGCTTGTGCCAGACTGTCCTTGTAAGAGACACGGTAAGGGCCGAGGCCTAGACAGTTCCGAGGTTGCCTCTGATGAGCTACTGAATTCAGCACACGATACATAGTAATAGAACAGGGGTACTTAACAATTCATTATGGGCACTCTCTGTCTGCTTGTCTAGACCGATGAAGAAGTAAACGAAAAGAGTTTGTTGATGAGGGAACTCATCAGCAGGTTGTGGGTGCTGTGCCATGATATTCATCAGGAACCTAGGACCATTGAGGTAACCAGTTCGGTCAATAATAGGTCTTACAGCATATTTCAAAACTGTGTTTATTTTGGAGTTTGCGTCAGACCGGGTCCTCATATGTAATTGGAAGAGGTTTACGGATAATCATAAGTGGTTCTGTTTACAGAGAATTTGCTCAAGGCATAACTCAGTCCTTTTCATGAAACAGGAAAAAATGGGAATGTCTAATGGCTGCCATGGATTTTTTCAAAGTGTCGAAAGTATTTACCTAACAACATGTTTTGATGTTGGGCAGGTCTGTGGAAACATTGTTATCTTGTGAGGTACATGGACTCTTCTGAATGATTTGTTATTATAAATTAAGGATCTGAGGTATTAGGAGACATTTTGTCTCTGGTTCTGTTATTATTTACAGTAAGATGTTTTTTGCTAGGGTCATCAACATTATTTTTCAGTAAGTAGTTCCTTAAGTCAAGAGACCGCCTCAAGAGAGCGCCTGCACATTCCACCCCACCTGAAGTCAAGACTATGTTTGGGTATTAGTGTATCCCAGTCATCAATTGGACATGAATCCAATATGTAGCGCAATATGTTTTTCAATGAGATAAGGTGGAATATTGCAGAAAAAACGACAAGTAGACTTATGTTAATATGAACTCTAAATGTCTGTACCAATATGTTGCATTGTAAGAATAAAGAGTTTGAATCCATGTGTCAGCCGTCTTCACTGACACTACAGCTTCACTGGGCAACTTAAGATACCAAATGTGCATGTTGATTTACTGGTTCAGAGTTGTGTCCCTTGGGCATGCTAGTAACCCATGATTGTGGGTTTGAATCCCGGTTTGCCCCAATTATGTTTCTTGGTTCCACAGCTCTATAGTTGAGCTCGTGAGTTTCACCATAGTGGTAAATGTCTGTGGCCCCTATCTCTTTGGGCTTTCCTCCCACATTTAGCTGACACACTGTGATATAATTGGAATACTGTTCAAAGTAGCATTGAAGCTCACTCACTCACTCACTCACTCACTCACTCACTCACTCACTCCTGTGAGGCAAGTCCATTGCCCCAAATGACTTGAGCCCAAGCATGTTCATATGGAACCCAACTCACTCGCTCACTCATGTTAATTTGAGACAACACTACTTCCTGATCAGACTGAATATAGCAGTATATGGCAGGGTTAGTTAGTAATTAGGTTAGTCAAAACCAGTTTGTCAACATCTGATAGTTGGTAATTATAAATTTTGTGAACATTTGTGGTATTTGTGGTATTTGTGGTACAGATACATGATGAAGGGTATCATGTATCATATTGTAGAGTTGGATATCTCGATGCACCGAGTCATCGTTTCAGCTTCAGTTATCTCCGAGGTCGTTCATGGAAGAAGAGTTCCAGAGTTCCTATATTAAACCAATAATTACTCTTGACGAGGTCACCATGCGAAAAGAAGGACCCGAGGACCAGTAGCCTATCTTAGTAAACAAGGGGCTGTGGGGTAGCCAAGTAGTTTAAGCGTTCGCTCGTCATGCCTGTGAAGCCCATTCCTGGTGTCCCCTGCCATGATATTGCTGGAATGTTGCTAAAAACGATGTAAAACCATACTCAGTCACTCTTGGTAAAACAGGGGCGGTCGGGTAGCCAAGTGGTTAAAGCTTTCGCTCGTCACGCCGAAGACCTGGGTTCGATTCCCAACATGGGTACAATGTGTGAAGCCCATTTCTGGTGTCCCCTGCCATGATATTGCTGGAATGTTGCTAAAAGCGCTGTAAAACCATACTCAGTCACTCTTGGTAAAACAAGGAGCGACGTAAAAAGGTTTTTGTGTTTTTTTGTGGTCTGTCCTTGCAGCAATGGAGCCCCAGGAAAAAGCAAGGGAAGACATATGGCATATATGTAGAAGTGCCACATTTCCAAATGTTTGCAGGGGCGGTCGGGTAGCCTAGTGGTTAAAGCGTTCGCTCGTCACGCCCAAGACCCGGGTTCGATTCCTGACATGGGTACAATGTGTGAAGCCCATTTCTGGTGACCCCCGCCGTGATATTGCTGGAATATTGCTAAAAGCGGCGTAAAACCATACTCACTCCAAATGTTTGCAACTTGTATAAGTGTCACTTCAATATTTTTGACAGACTTTCGTGTATACACAATGATAAAATAACTCTGGAATGATTAAAAAGTGACGAGAGACTGAGGACAGTATGTGATGTACACCTACTGTGACCGGCGAATGAATTACTGACTTCTGTATCACATGTGGGAGGTTTAATCAAGTTTTTCCCATCCCTTGTTCTCAAAGTATCACACTATATTTCTCTGTGTGATTAGATAGCCCTGTGAGAATTCATATCACCTACACATGTAAGGTGATTTATAATCTGCAAATTGCATTACCCTTCGCTTGCAATGATTAATTTTTTCTGATTTCATAGTGTAGCTATACTGAACAGGCTCAAAACACACCCCTCTGATTTAGACCTGTAATTGCTGTTGTCATGGCGCTTGGTCTGCAGTGTGTGGTGGAGGAGAAATCACTTGGAACTTGCTGCAAGTTTGCCTCCAGCACTGGGAGATAACGTAGATACAGGTAGTTCCCGACTAAGACCAGTTTCTAGCAGGCTCCTCTGTGGCTAGTTTGCTTTTCTCAAATTTGGATATGACTATTTTTGGTCAGGCTCGCTGACTTGGTTGATGCATGTCATTGATCCTAATTGCATGGATAGATGCTCATGATATCAATCACTAGATTGTCTGGTCCAGACCCGATTATTTACCGGCCGCCGTCACATAGCTAGAATATTGCTGAGTGCGGCGTTAAACAACAAACCAACCAACCAACCTTACCATGCCCACCCACCACCTCACCCCCATCCACAGCCTCACTCCCACTTGCAGCCTCACCCCCACTTGCAGCCTCACCCCCACCCACAGCCTCACCACCACCTCCGCCCACCACCTCACCCCCACCCACAGCCTCACTCCCACTTGCAGCCTCACCCCCACTTGCAGCCTCACCCCCACCCACAGCCTCACCAACACCTCCGCCCACCACCTCACCCCCAACCACAACCTCACCCCCACCCACAGCCTCACCCCCACCCACAGCCTCACCAACACCTCCGCCCACAGCCTCACCCCCACTTGCAGCCTCACCAACACCTCCACCCACAGCCTCACCCCCACAGCCTCAACCCCACTTGCAGCCTCACCCCCACTTGCAGCCTCACCAACACCTCCACTTGCAGCCTCACCAACACCTCCACCCACCACCTCACCCCCACCCACAGCCTCACCCCCACTTGCAGCCTCACTAACACCTCCACCCACAGCCTCACCCCCACACCACCACAGCCGCACCACCCCACACTGTAAGTCTAGACCTCAGCATGCCTCCCACCCACCTCACCCCAACCCCTAGTCAAGGGTGCAGGTGCTGCAGGTTGATGCAGTTCGTGGACGCGGTGGGGCTGATGCAGGCGGGGCTGACGCAGGCGGCGGGGCTGATGCGGTCAATAATACATTCTTGTGGTCAGCAGCAGACTGCCATGTTCTCAGCAATCTGTCTGGTCATGCCAGAAATAGCTGGGTCACTAGACTCACAGGATTGGCTTCTTGAAAAAGTAGGATATTCAGATGTTGATCCTGGTGAGGAGGAATTTATTGAGATATGCTCTAGAAGATATCATTGTAAGTAATGGAAGACTCCCAGCTATATTAGGGGATTAACCCCTTTACATCCTGAGGATAATCAGTCTTTGTTCTCGTCATCATCTGAACCGTGCATTACTTTGTGTAAGAATAGCCTTTCAAATTTCACAAACTTGCATCACATCTGCAGTGAGTTTGCGAGACTAAGGGAGCATCCATTTGATTTGTAGGGATGGGCGGGGGAGGACCGGCGTATTATTTTTTTTACGAAGGATTATTTTTTCACCAGTTATATCCAACAAACGATTTGTTTATTGAGTACAAGAAAACAATCTATTTGTTTTCACTATTAACAAATCTTTTTATGTTTTGTATTTTCCAAATTATACAACTCACTCACTATCCGTTATACTTAAATTTATTGATAATTTGATTTGAAGAAAGTACAGTTAAACAGTTACACTAAACTTAAAATTAAAAAAAAGTTCATTTTTGTTTACCAGTACCAACATACTCTTCTTTTTACTATTCTTTATTAAAAATCTTCCCACCCACCCATAGAAATCAAATGAATGCTACCTTGGACCAGTGATATTAACATTTTACATTATCCTGTATTGTTACCGAAATTGCAAAATACCTTCAGTAAATGTCTTATGAAAATATGTCAGTTTCCTAGACGCATGCTATTCATTGAACCCATCTGAAACCATGGAAATCATCCATCTGTATCTAGTCATCAAGGAAACTCGTTAAAATTCAAATAAGGAAAAAAGAAATTCACCTACCTACCCATATCTTTGCATCTGCTACAAAAAACACATTCATTTAATTTTTAACCTTTTTTTTCACAAATTAGAACAGGTGGTGTGATTTTCCAAGTCATAAAACACGTTTTGCCTAAAAATATTTAAAAGAAGAAATATGTAAAAGAAACGCTGGAACAGGTCAGCATTGGATATTGGGAGAAAGGAAAAGTAGGGTAAGGCCCACTGGACATGTTGGTCATATCAAATTTTATAGTTGCAAGAACGTTTTTGAAATAATGTGTATGAAAATTATCATATAAGTAAAAATGGCTAACAAGTAAACATTCTTTCTTACACTTGGATGTTTTCAACTTCTGACATGATCAAATACATGAGTTTCGGCTAAAACTAGTGGGAAAAAAAGAGAATGTTTAGCTTCAAATGATAATCTCAGTATGAGCAGGTCTGTGACCCAGATTAAGTTATTTGACATATTTTTGTAATGATTTTATCTACATGTCCTATAAAAAATATCTTAGGTCAAAGTATAAAAAACCTGCTCCATGACAACCCCTAGAAACAGCCATTTTGATGCATTTCATCCATGCCTATGCATCTGGAGTTGTCGTAAGTCCATGACATGCAATTGTTGAAAGGAAGTAAGTCGACTAGTTCATTTAAACACATCTGTTAACTTTCATATTAATTGCTGAAAGCTTTGCTCAGTTCTTAAATTACGCATGTCTGGGGGCCAAACAGTTTGCTAATTTGGTTATGTTCACATGGGTATGCACATTGTCTCAGTCTGTGATTTTAGCCACTGTAGCCAGTGTCGCGAAAATGTCTTTCAGTCTTGTGAGATCACTTAATTATAGTCCATTATGCCATGACCAACTTCTGTGAACAATATTCTTAAAGACCTGTTCGACCTTATGGACACAAAGTCTTTGGCCTATATTGTTGTCTGAAGATTTTTTGCACAACTCCAGAACAAATTGATGTGCAAATGATCTACAGTGATGTTCAGCAATGTACAAAGATGTACAATGATGTTCAGCAATGTACAATGATGTACTGTGATGTTCAGCAATGTACAATGATGTTCAGCAATGTACAATGATGTACTGTGATGTTCAGCAATGTACAATGATGTACAATGATGTTCAGCGATGTTCAGCAATGTACTGCGATGTTCAGTGATGTACTGCGATGTACAATGATGTACAATGATGTTCAGTGATGTACTGTGATGTACTGTGATGTACAATAATGTTCAGCAATGTACAATGATGTACTGTGATGTACAATGATGTTCAGCAATGTACAATGATGTACTGTGATGTTCAGCAATGTACAATGATGTACTGTGATGTACAATGATGTTCAGCAATGTACAATGATGTACTGTGATGTTCAGCAATGTACAATGATGTTCAGCAATGTACAATGATGTTCAGCAATGTACAATGATGTACTGTGATGTTCAGCAATGTACAATGATGTTCAGCAATGTACAATGATGTACTGTGATGTTCAGCAATGTACAATGATGTACAATGATGTTCAGCAATGTACAATGATGTACTGCAATGTTCAGTGATGTTCATTGATGTACTGTGATGTTCAGTGGTGTTCGGTGATGTACAATGATGTACAGTGATGTACTGTGATGTTCAGTGATGCACTGTGATGTACTGTGATGTACAATGATGTACAATAATGTTCAGTGATGTACTGTGATGTTCAGTGATGTTCTGTGATGTTCTGTGATGTACTGTGATGTTCAGTGATGTACTGTGATGTACATTGATGTACATTGATGTACATTGATGTTCAGTGATGTACGATGATGTTCAGTGATCTTCAGTGATGTACGATGATGTTCAGTGATCTTTAGTGATGTACGATGATGTTCAGTGATCTTTAGTGATGTACGATGATGTTCAGTGATCTTCAGTGATGTACGATGTTGTTCAGTGATCTTCAGTGATCTTCAGTGATGTGAAGTTATGTAAAGTGATGTACAAACTTCCATGACAATCAGGTGTCTGTAGTCATGACCTTGCTGATTTATGCACTACATTCAAGACCTGTACAAATCTTTCTACAAATTGGTGCAAATATTTTCTCATCACTGCATTTAGAGTCTTATCCTCGCTTAGTCTTTGCATGAAGCTAAGTTTTATGTGATCTTGGATTAGTGTTACCAGTATCTTAATTCAATATGAAAATGGACATATCACACATCATCAGTGTTGCTCTTTTTTTTATCACATACACATATTCCAAAACACAGACACACAGTATAAACACACATAGTATTAACACATAGTATTAACACATAGTATAAACACACAGTATAAACACATAGCATTAACACATAGCATTAACACACAGTATAAACACAGTATAAACACACAGTATAAACACATAGTATAAACACATAGTATAAAAATATTCAGCATTTGTTTTTTATCATGTTCAAGTCGATGAGAGGGATATTTCTTAATATATAAATGGAAAAAAAAGGTAGGCGTTGGAATCTGTATTTTATATTTAACATTGATCTATCCATAAAAAATGAGTCCAAATGAATGGTTTGCTTGCTCCTGTATTTGTGCCATGTTCATAGTCACCAGTGCATCAAAGGCTATAATTTCCCGCTTGATTGTGTTTTTTCCTTCAGCCATTTCTTAGGTTACTACATTGATCTCTGGATCTTCTTTCCCCATATTTGGTTAAAAAAAATATTCCAATTTCAATAACAGTCAGAGTCTCAGGATTCCCTGTTTGTCATTTGTGAACAAAATAAATGAAATTGTTCCTTTGTAGTTGGTATGAAAAGATGAAAAAAAATGAAAGGCAATTAATATGGTCCTAAACGTGTTCCACGTGGCTGCAGCCGGCCGGCTTGTGGGGGAATATTACCATGAGATCTGCGGAACGTTTTATCGGGCACAGTAGGAGATGGTGGAAAAAGTGCAGACATAAAAACACTCTCAGTTAGTGTGTAGTTATAAGAGCCCCCTGGCTTCTGCTACCCAGGCAGGCCTGTTGCAGGAAACTCGCAAGCATACCATACATACCAGCGATACAAATAGCTGATGGAAATTTGAAAATCCTTCCAAGCAAGGTTTATTTTTATGCCATACTCTATGACAAGTTTCCCCAGAAGAAGGATCTGAGATGCCACTGACTGAATGAGAGACCTGGTTAAATTCAATAGGCATGATTTTGGCAGTGTATGCAGTCGTATCTCACGCTTGTGCTGTAGTTCCGAAGCCCCCAGTAGGAAGCCCCCTTGTCCGTTTCTGGTTCCGTACCTCTGCAACGAAGCTGCCAGCTCAGAAATTATCAAGATTTGTTTCTTGAATCAAGTCCAGCGTTTCTTTCATATCTTGAGAATTTTACCTTGACTGTTTCAAGCTTGTTTAGTGTGGGCCTCATGCTGTGTGTGATGTTCTTGGTTACTGGCAAGGCTGTGCCATCAAGGTAGAAGCAAGAGACTTGGAGATGCCGAGCCATGCATCTTGTCATGTCTGTAGTGGAGAATAGGAATTGTTACCAGACCACCAATATTTCATGGAGACTTGCATATCTGATACTATAAAAAAAAGGTAGATTTCATGTAAGTGTAAAAAGTTGTATTTGTCACTCTTGTCTTTAGAATGTAAGTAATGTTATTGACCTCCGACAACATAGCTGGTAAAGTAATTTTAAAATAAAATCATATCATGTATCCAACATATATATATATATATATATATATATATATATATATATATATATATATATATATATATACTACTCAAATTTTGATCGGGATATTCTCAGCGTCCAATCCCTGCAGTTGTCACAAATTACATTCAATATTGCCTTTGAACTGGCTCATTATTAGCACCATTTAAAAATATATGTAATTTATTTAACATTCCACTGCTGATTTAAGTTAAACATTATGAAATATCTCAGTATCCTTATCTAATGTTGAGTAGTTAATATGCCAGTACGTGTATTTATC